AGAACTGGTAAAAGAATGGAGCCAGGGGTTCCTCTCAAGCCCATGTGACCCTGAGGTACAGATGCTCAAATCAGCTTAAGAGTAAACCTAAATCGGTTTATCTGGACCAACTGTATGGCCTTAAACACCCAAAAGGAAAGTATAACCAAAGATTAAATGTGCCAACATAACTTCATAAGAGTCCATATGTATAGCTTAAAGGCTACATAACAAGCAACAATGCCAGACAAGTGATACCTTCTTTTCAGTTGGACAGGGTGGCCAAAGGGATTCCCAGATAGTAACCCAGCATAGAACTGGGAAAATGAACAGCAGACCCCAATTTTGCCAATTTTTTAGTTAGGTGGGTATTTTCTTATTGTTGATTTTTAAGCATTCTCTGTATATTTTAGATACATATCCTCTGTTAGATAAATGTTTTGCAAATGTTTTCTCTCAGGCTATGGCTTGTCTTTTTATCTTCTAACAATGTCTTCTTCAGAGTAGAATATTTTAATTGTGTGTGTGTGTGTGTGTGTGTGTGTGTGTGTGTGCGCGCGTGTGTGTGCATGTATGTGGGGGAGTGCATGTACATGTAGGTGCTTGTTTGTGACGGTCAGAGGTCAATGCTGTTGCCTTATTCTCTCATTCTCTTCCCTCCTTTTTGAGACAGAACCTCTCTCTGAACCTGGAACTCTCTGACTTGGCTAGACTGGCTGGTCTGTGAGCTGCAGGCATCTTCCTATTTGCCACTGCCAGCACTGGGATTACAGGTGCATGTATTCCACCTGGCTTTTTTTTTTTCTTCCAAAATCATGGAGGAATTATTAATGGAAGATGATATTACATATGCACTTGCAATGTGAAACTTAATTGCTTAAAGTAACTGGTTTTAAAACATAACAAAGACAGATAAATTTTCTTTTCCTTTACAAAAATTGTTTTTGAAATTTGATCTAATCTATTTTAACCTCTTGAGATTTTTTTAAATTTTTAATAACTACATGATTAGAAGAAGAATTTCACTAGAGCATTAACATATTCAGTGACACACTCCAGAGCAAGAGTACATCTCTTTCACAAGTGGCTGCAAGTTTCTAGGTTCATAGTTGAATTAATACAGTTATACAATATTGAACTCAGTATAAGCCCTGTAAGACATAAAATTGAATGAGTTTTTAACCTTTAAAAAAGATCTCCATTTCATTTTAGAATATATTGATCCTTGCAGAAAGACTCATTGTTTTTGCTACTAACACTGAGATGTTGGTGCATGCATCTCTAATCTGTATGTATCTGATTATTACTAGTCATAATTGGTTGCACTTGGATCCTTGGCGCCTGTGTATGTCTATAAAGATGTCGGGTAGATTTCAATGATAATGTTTATCACCTCTACTAATTAGCATGATGTAAATTTCCATGCTTCCTCCATCCACCTGGCTTTTTTATGTGGGTTCTGGTGGGTCTGACTCAGGTCCTCATGCTTGTGTGGCAGGCACTTTACTGACTGAGCCATCTTCCCAGCCCCAAAGTTTTTAATTAAAAAAAAAAATTCTTATCTGAGGGGGTTGGAGAGATGGCTCAGTAGTTAAGAACACTGGTTGCTCTTGCAGAAGACCTGGGTTCAAATCCCAGCAACTGCATGGCAGCTTACAACTGTCTATAACTCCAGTTCCAGGGGATCTGACAGTCTCTTCTGTCCTCCATGGGCATTGCATGACATGGGTGCACTTATATACATGCAGGCAATACAAACATGCACATAAAATAATAATAAATCAAATTAAAAAATTCTTATGTGTGTGTTGTATGTATGCATATACATGACATATATGTGGGTTCACATGCCATAGTGTCTATGTGGAAGTCAGAGGACAACTGTGGAGTTGGTTCTCTCCTCCACTTTATATGGGTTTTGGGTATCTAACTCAGGTCATCAAGCTTGCGAAGTATGTACCTTTCCCCACTGAGCCACCTCACTAGCCTTGAAGTTTTAAATTTTAAAGAAGTGAACTTACTACCTTTTTTTCCATGGCATGTACTTTTGGTGTTCTATCCAAAATTTCATCACGAATCCCCAAATGATCTAGATACTGTAAACATTTTCTTCTGGAAGTTTTATAATTTTGCATTTTATATTAAGATATATGATCTATTTTGAGGTGATTTTTGTACAGGCCTGTGTTACTTTTTTTTGCACACGGGTATCCAGTTTCGTGAGTACAATGTGTTGAAAACATTCTCCTTTTTCCCTTGAGTTTACTCCTGTTGAAGATTGGTTGACTGTGTGAGTATGCGTCTGTTTGGGAGACTCTGTACTGCTCTGTTGATCTATTTTTCACCAACAGCACACTGCTTTCATTACTGTAACTGCTTTATAATTTGTCTTGTTACTTTGAATTTCTGAATTTTTTATACACTGTAATCTTAGTTACATAGGAACTAGGACAATTTTAATAAAAAATATAATCATTGTAAGTATTGATTCTTTTTATGGAGGTGTCATTCTCTGAAAAGCTGCTACAAAATTATTCCAACAGGATAGGGACTGGATCATGAACTTTTTGCCTCCTGGTACTTATTTATCTGAATGCTCAAAACCCTAAGCTTAGGTAGGCAGAAATTCTGAGAGTGTGCTATTCTTAAATATTATTCTTTTGCACTTGTGGTGATTATTTGTTAGCATTGCATGATTACATACAGTTCAAGAGATACAGCTTAATACTTCAGTATTATCTCAATAGTAATATTTTAATAATTGAACTTGTGGCAGATATTTGCTAAACTATGCATATACGTAAGTCTGACTACATTTCTTTCTTTCTTTTTTTTTAGATCAATGATGCCTTTCTTCATGTGTTACAGCGCAAATCCACGGGCAAGGTGCTCCTCTCCCTTAAATAACCTCCCTACAGCCTAAACCTGAATCTCCTTCCAGGGATTTAAAGGTGTTCCTTTAAATCCTACTGACCTGGGCTTCACATCTTAGAGCCAGACCCCCTTGATTCTCTTTTCTTATTGCTCATTGTTAGTGTGATCATAGAGCTTGGATCTTATTGAGGATAAAAGGGTATTATTAGTAATTATACAAGGAAAACATGTCCCAGGCAAGCAAGGATGTGTGATCACCCAAGTCAATGTGTCAGTTGACAAGTCTGCTGCTCCCACCTGTGAAATGTCCCTCAACTCTATTCCTCCCTCTTTTTCTATTCTGACTGTCTCACCTGCTATTTCCAGTGCCTTCTAGCTGGCTTTCCTGCTGTTAAACTTCCCCATATCCCCCATCTGAGTTACACATTACTGCCCGGTGGTGGTCTCCATGAAACAGCTCAGATTATGTCTTATCTCAGGAAACTGGTAGTGGCTTACCATTGCCTGTATGGTGGAGTTCAGACTCCTTGAGCCCCACTGCATCTCATTCTGATGATTTTGCCCCATTTTACCTTCCAGCATCATTTCCACAGTTTCCCTAGTCCCTAAGGATGCCCCGGCCTCCCTCCTGCACTGCTCCTGCAGTGTCCTCCACACATCTCTAAGACCTTCCTCACCTGCAAGGCCTGCCTTCTCCAGGTGCCTTCGTTCTCTGGAGAGTTCTGCTCTCTCTTCTGCTGCCTTTCTGTGGCTCCTTCTGCAGGGTGTACCACTTCTTTGCATCATAGGGACCAGCATGTGTAGCAAGCATAGGAACAGGGGCTTCTGAATCTAAGATATGGGCTTGAATCCCAACCTCCCCATTGTGGCCAGGCTACTTAAGGGCTTGGCATTTTGTTCTTCACTTAAAATATCTATCTCATGCAAGTGATTGGGTAAAGCCCCTGCAGATGGCAATGAGTTAGTGACTGAATGCTTTTACTTTCTGTCCCTTCCCTTCAACATTTACAATCTCCTTAAAAGCTGGTACCATGTCTGAATCACCTGGTGACTTCCTGTACTTCCCATCATTGTGGGTTACCCTTGACAGATATATAATAAATGGAATTCAATTGGAATGACTTGACGTCTTAAATTGTGGAATTTAATTAAGAATATGTGCTCTGTGAACAACCCAAATGTCCTTTGACAGGTGAATGTGTAAATGAAATATACATCCAAATAAGTATTTATGCAATGTGCATTGTATATA